GCATTGAAGTCAACATCTATTACCTTGTTCAAAGTCAATGCCCAAGGGAGGAAATTTTTTTTTAGGGTTTAATCCTCCGAAACACATTTTTCCTCCTAAGATACTGGCACAGACCACTCTTTCTAATGTGGTATCACTCACCATTTTCCTTCACCTTAGCTAACCAGGAGCTCAGAGCATGCGAGTCAAACACGTGGACTCTGTGGCCAGTTCATTTCCTTGTCCCTTTTTTACTCATTGTTTCCTTTTCCCTGTTCTGTTAATGTCATATTTATATTTCATGTAGATACACATATGCGTTTACATGTATATTTGAGAAGCTACCTGAAATTCTTTTTGATAAAATCACCAAACGAAATAATTTCAGAAGTGCAGTTTGTGCGTTAAGAGCCCGCGAAGACTTGGCGGGGCAAGTTGTCTCGCCTCCCAGAACCTTCTCCACATCTGTACAGTGAGAGGCGATAACAGAATCTACTTTGAAAGGTCATTGTGAGAAAGGGAGGAATAAGTAAAAAGCATTTGGAAGAGTAAACATTAAAATTATCCCTACGTATCAGAATGGAGGCTCTAGCAGAGAACTAGTTACTGAAAAATACACACACGCACACGCACACGCACACGCACACACACACACACTCTAATTACTGTTCTCTAAATTGTTTACACCGCATCTTTAAGCCAACCTTTAAATTCTGCCCCATCCATAAAGGTGGTGTGTATATGTAATCGTTAATTAAGAATTCTGCTTTGGGGGCTGCTCTTTTTCTACTATTAAAAATGGAGAGATACAACGCTCCATTTTATGTCAAATGACACACAAAGGTGTCACAGCGATGCAGTAAAATACCAGTAACGACCTCGCAAGACGCATTATTTTTTCCAGTTTATATTCGTGCCATAACTAACAGCATTTCATGAGAACTCGTTATCGTGAGTGACATCATTGCACATACAAGGGACCACGCTGAATGTAATATATTAAACGTAGATAGCTCTGTACCCACAACCCAGCCTCCTGACTTTGCTTCTTCAATCCTATTTTCTTCCCCCGCCAGAGGTAATCGCTATTCTGAATTTTTTTTGTTACCATTTACTCCTCGAGGAAGAGCTGGTCTTAGGTGTACCTCTAATTTTGTTTTCGGGGCGTCCTGCCATCCTCCCTTGCCGAGCTCCGCCACCTCCAGTGCCTAGACTTCTTCGTCACCTTCCTGCCCGGATTCCATCCCACCTGCTCCCGCCTGCACTCATACATCCCCGATCTCGAAAACGAAAAAAGAAAAGCCCTTCCATCTACACGGCAGTGGCCTCGAATGGCTGTCTTACCCCCTTCGCTCCACGGTGAACTTGCTTGTAAAAATACTTTTGCGTCTGCCTCCAAATCTCACATCACCCGTTGCTCAATGTTTTATAGTCTGTTTACGACCCTAACCCCAGGTTCCACCAGGACACCCCTAAGCCGGCCGGCTGAGGCTTCTTCCGTGCCATTTCCTGTTACTTTTCATCATCAGATGTAATTACGTGCTAAGGATTATCAGATGGTGTTTCGTCTCCTCCCCTGAGCCCCTGAACAGACTGAATTATTTGAGCCAGGCTAGAGCTTTAGCTGAATCGGAATCACCTGGAGGACGTGTTAAAAAAAACGGGGTTTCATCCGATTTCTACGAGATAGTTGTCCAAGGCAACATCCGTTTTATACATCATGCCCAATGGGGGGAATTTTCTTTTCAGGATTTAGTGCTGTGGAAAACATCGCGTTTCTGACGTTCTCCACAGTGCTCCCAACGCCATGCGGCCTGTCTCTTCCGCTGGCTCTTTCCTCCCAGCTGCATTTTTTCCTAAGTCCTCCTCTCTTTCATGACAGCTGCCTCAGCCACCCAATGCATGGCCCATGGACCACCAGCAACAGCAGAATCTGGAAGCATGTTACAGATGCAGACGCTCAAGCCCCAGCCCAAGACCACTGACCTAGAACCTGCATTTTAACCAAATCCCCAAGTGGTGTGTATGCACCTTAAATGTTAAGAAGCACTTCTCTAGGATGAGAACGGTCCCGCACGGAGTGGGGGACAGTCCCGGGCTCACGGGGAATCCTAGGAGCAGCGACTCTAGTGCAGATACCCGCCTCTGTAAACCTGGCCCCTTCTCAGCCGCCCTGGGGTGCTCCTGGGGGCCCAGGCCCCATCTCACTGCCGGTAGACCCCCGAGCTTACTCTGGCTCCCCGGGCCTTGACCTCTGCTACCTTCCTCTTCTTAGCCTTTTTTGCCGGAGCGCTGGAAGGTAACCTTGTTGCCAGTTTCCTTGCCCCTCACGTCCCGGAAAAAAAAAGGAAAAGCTTCAACCCACCTTTCCCGTGTCCGATTGCACATCTTCACACGGTGGGCGTCCCAGCCGCGCCACGTGTCCGAAGCCAAACCCCTGCTCTCCTCCCATGCCAGACACTTCCGCCCTTGCTGCTGTCCGGAGGTCAAAGCCAGTGAGGCCAGGTGCCAGGCAGGCGATGTGAGTAAGTGGAGGGGGGCGGGGTGAGCTGCAGAGAGCCTGCTTTGTCTCATGGGTGAGCAGCTGAAGATCATCACTGAGAAATATGGTCCCAATGTTGCCAAGCTGAAATTTTATGTGAGATCTCCTGATTTTACTGTGGCAAGAAATTTTTTTTTTTTTTAATTTTTAACTACGAGAGCCAAAGAAAACCTGTTTTGCAGGCTGTATGGGGCCAGTGCTCAAAATCAAGTTGTCTTTGGCTTCCTCCTCCTCCTCCCTCGTCTCTCTGGTACTGTCAAGACCTATACATCTCACCTTCTCTCTTAAGTCCTAGCTTGCTTTTCTTTCTTCATCTGCCAACTGACTCGATGCACCAGGGGAAGTGCAGGAACATCCGCTACCCCTACCTCCGTCTCTTTGTACTAAAACCCATCTACCAACTGCCAAATTATTTTCAAATAGCGCTCCATCGTGTGGATAGCCTTTCTATTCGAAGTCCTTTAGAGCCGCCCCTGGCCTCCAGCTGTCAAAACTTTACCCCAAATGGCATTTCCCACCTCCCTCCCCTAATTAGCCAAGCTTTCGACTAGAGCTCCCAAGGCTTGGACAAGATAGTGGTGGTTATCGAGATGACAAGAAGTCAATGGCACAGAACAGCAGCTCACAAGGCCCTAAGTTCAGAGCAAACTATCTACCACCAACTTTTTACTAAAAGCCTGGATAAGACGCAGTACACTGTGCACCTGGGTTTGCAAACTGGCAGCCTGATGGTCAAGTTTGTTTTATAACTATCTTTTGTTCAGCTTGCAATGCTTTAAAAATAGTTGCGCTGAAAATAGTGACTGTACACAAAAATCAATATTCCTGTCAAGAAATAAAAAAATCTGTGGCAACTACTGGCTAGAGTAGAGTTTTAGTTACTTCTTCAGATGCTGCTTCCTGGGCTTCATCTAGCCCCAAATACTCGCTACTAGCAGAAATGGGAAAAGGCTTAGGGACACTCTAGAAAAGTGGGAATTCTATTTCTGATATCCTAGAACTTCACAGGTAAACTAAGAAAAACAAGGTATAAAGTTAGCGACAATGTATAGTGTTATCGCCATCCCAATGTTCGTCTTATTTTAGGCTTACTTGCTAATATACTGATAATATTTTAAAGCCCAGGCAGTTATATGATCCAGTTTCTGACACATAAGTCGGATGAGTCTTTGTTGTGAAAATTTCTGAACGATTCAGCGTTAGCCACCTTCCTGCGTCAGCTCCCACTCTGGACCCATCCATTCACCACCCTTCTGGGGTCCTGGCTCAGACTGATTTTGATGGACTCCCTCTGGACTCGGGTTGGGTTTGGCCAGTGGTGGGCACCAGATGGATTTTGGAGGGAGAGAGAATGAGGTCAGGGTGTCAGGTCTCTCGGCTGTGTCGCTGCAGGGGTGTCACAGGCTGGCTGTGTCACCCCCCCAAATGAAGGTGGCCCTGGATTACAGAGTGAGGGGGGTGGCTGCCGTCGCCCCTGGCCTCTGAGGGTACAAAACCCTCCACCTTCGTAATCTTGGCTAGTTTTCTGAAATTATTGTAATTTGAGTGTGTTATCTATTTCCAGCTATAACCTGACTGATACATCTCCCAGCCCCACACCTCTACCTGAACACTAACCAAATGGATGCAGGAAAAAAATATCCTTTTAAGAGTCATTTTCTAGAATTTGAATATTACTACGTGGGAAAATTTTGCAGCAAAAAGTTGCCTTGACGTCAAGATGAATTTTATATATTCTAGCTTTAAGCCTGCATTGTTTCTAAACAATATAGAAAGTTTAGCCTTGAAGGTTAAAAAAAATGACATTTCCTCTTAAAATTATGTATATTTAATCCCAGAATTACCCTCATTTTTGTACTATGATCCTTCCACTGGCATTCTGGAGTAGCGGTGCCATCTGCTGGGAATTTCATACTATTAGGTCTCCCAAATCCCAAAATATATGTCTTTTGGGGGCTTGAAGGGATAAATGTTCTCTTTATTTAAGGAAAAAAGCCTTATTGTTAAAGACACAGCTGCTTAACGTCTACAGCGTTATCAATATAACCCTAGTTAATTACAGAGCACTCACATAAAATCTAAAGCATCGTTTTTAAAAAACACTGAACTCTTCTTCCTATTGATACATCTCTTGGTTTCTGAAACATTCTTCTATCGTTGCACTGTGTTTGTATGAAGCTCAACCAGCCTCGGCGTTTGCCGGAACTTTCTCCAAGATTTATGATTTGTATAGATACGTAAGAGACGTGTGAAATATGTAGGTTCTGATAGAATATATATCGCATATTTTAAAATAAAATATCTACATATTTCTTAGTATATGATCAAGTTTCAGCTGTGAAATGAGTGAAGTCAGGTTAGTTTTCTGTTATCCTTTCACCATGTAAATAGCAACGGAAATCAGCATAAACAACGTGACACAACTGTGAGATTCCCTACAAAAACTGCAAGATATTCTAAATGATAATATAGAAGCATAAACGATTGCTTAACTGTCTTTAATAACATGACATCAATCCCTACATTTGATATAGTCGTTATGCAAAATACATAGATGAATACTGTCTTCTTTTAAAAATATAAAATAAATAAGCAAGACATGTGAAAATAGGCAAGTTTCCATTAAATAAAAGAAAATTTTTTTAAAAAAAGAAAGTTTTGCTCTCCATATCATTTGAAGAAAGGAAATTATCATTTAAACAATATTCAAGTTTATTAAACAAATTTTAAAAAGTATTATAAAACGTTTAACTTTCATCAGCTTCAAGGTTTATGTTGCTCCCAAATTTCGCATATAACTGAACTTTCAAGTCTGCTAACACCCGCTGAATTGCTTCCACTCTGGATTCTAAGGCGTCAATTTCTTCTTGCAAATTTTTCTGGAAAAAAATTGCTCAAATTAATTCTACTCGACCAGATGTTGCTGAGGATCCGTGTCTGACAAAACATCTGGGAAGAGTTTTAGGTCAAGAATTTCCTAAACTGGGATGGGCAACTAAATCAATAATGCTGATAACTAGATCGAAGCCAAAAGTCTGAACACGGGCATTTTTAATTCCTGGTCTATATCTGCTTATTGTAAGATAAATCAAGCTTGCTTTCTCAGTTTTTGCTGATTTAAAACACGTAATAGATATAAGAAAATTAATTTCTAAATTATCCTACCCTAATAAAGGAAGAGCCATCCAGAACACCGTGGCACTTCCGGTAAACAGCTGGTCACAAGCACGGGTTCCGACACAGCCTCTTCCAACTTCCCACAGAAAAGGCTATGAAACGGGAGGAAATGCTAAAAATTCACACTGTCGCCGATCATTAAGAACAGCAACTTATAGTCAAAATCTGGCAGAACTTTTCCCTAACTACGAGGACTTTCCAGCTAGATGACACACTCCGTGCGGGCAGAGACCAGATGTGATTTCTTGTCCCGTGTCCCTACCATATGGTAGATTCTGGTACAGAATAAGCACTTAACAAATACTTTTGGAATAAATGAATGAATGAATGAATGAATGAATGAGTAGCAAAATAAAGGTTTACTATCTGGGGGGAGGAAGGGGGAAGGATTGCACAATAGTGACAAAAACTTATCTTGAATACTTCCAAGAAGAGTATTTTAAGATTTTTTTTAAAAAAGCTCAAATTACAAAATTTTACTACGAAAGAGAAGATTTAAACGTTAAAAGGTTGCCATATGATGTTTGTGCACGGGAAGATTCAGGAGTAAAAGTGTTAGTTCTTCCCAAGGTTTCATAATGTGGGTTTAATTCATGAAAAGTTTTGCTTTCTAAGACATTTAAAGAAAGTAGACTAACATTTTCAATAACAGTCAAGTTAATGAAGCAAATTTTAAAAGAATCAGAAAATATTTAACTGCCGTTAGCTTCTCATACACAAACACTGTGATCTGCCTGTACCTCAAAATTCGTCAACGAATCCGCACTCTGACCCAGTAATTACGCTTCTCAGGTTATTTAGTTAAAAGAACTTCCTGCACGTGAACGAAGATTTAGGTATAAAAATGCTCACTACAGAATT